TCTGAGTCCTCCCCTTACCACGTTTAGTTATCAAGTACAAAAATCATACAAAAATCATAATAAATATCTTGTATCTTTGCTTATTGAAAACTAAGCTCATTATTTTGAGATACAGTATAACAGTGGCGTAGTGTTTGCACTGATGAGGCCTGCAGAACACCACATATATCAGTTATCAAATCAAATATCAAGTAGGATATGGCCTTTCTCTAAATAAGGGTTGTCAAGCTTTTATAAACACCCAATTTCTTAAATTATATCAGTGACATCTGACAAAGTATCTATTATAAATCATTAAATAATGGGTGCAAAAATACTTACGGCAAAGAATATTAAGCTTTCAGTGTGATCTACAGTAATTTAGAAATAAAGTACGTAGTTAAAAAAAATGACTACTATGCATCATGCACAACGCTGGCCCTCTGGAAAGTTGCCAATGATCATATTGCTGAACATTTAAATAATGAGTAAATATATTTATTTATATGATCCAATTATTATTTCAAGTAAAACAGAAAACTGAATAACTTTCCCAAGTGAAAAAACTATAACTGAAAGCGGACTGTAGGGTTATTTAGAAATATTAAGAATAATAATGAGGACCAGTTTTGTCCAACTGATGGAGAGCCGCCGCCGGTCTACATAGCCTCTCGACAAGTGAATGCAGTTTTCAAATTGCATGCATTTGTACCCATTACATTTACAGAAACCTTATTAAATAGCCACTCTTATGGAACAACTACTCTTAGGTAATATAATATCACCATATAACATAAGACTTCATGCTTATTAAGGGAAAAGTATTAAATTTGACTAAAATGACTCAAATTCCTTTTGCTCCAACACAATAAAGTTCATTTTAGCATGTTATTGATAGGATGGTTATGTCTATATGTCCATTGAGGGCATGCAGATTACCCTTCTGTATGCATTGAGGGACGCTGAGCCTCCTCGACTTTCCTGAGTGAAAACTGTGAAGACTCTAAAATTATATCTACATTATTGAAGATACTATTCAAGAATAAATTTTGCTTTGTACTAGGTATCCAGTGCATGCCTTGCATTCATTAAGAATATGCCACTGCAGTTTAAGATACAATATTCATTAATACATGCAACATAAAACAGCAAGAGCTCAAATAACAACCTGAGCTCTGGTTTTATGTTACTGATTACAATTATTGATACAGGAAATCCTTTTAAAAAACACAAAAGCAATTTGCCGCCTACATCAAAGAAACACATTTGAGCTAGTTAAAGAAAAACGGGTCCGACAAATTACCCAAATGAACCCAATGAACCCAAATGTAGCCGCAATGAAGTCAAATGATGGTCCTACATGAATAAATCGGACTGCCTATCACTTCTTGACTTGTATTTGGTGTCACGAAGTCACAAAAAATTGGTAAACTTAATTTAATCTGAGTTAATAGATTGAGTGCATGTTCCTAACCTAACCTAACCTAACACAACTCAGATTAAATTAAGTTTACCAATTTTTTGTGATTTAATGACACCAAATAATAATCGAGAAGTGATTCACAGCCCGATTTATGCTTGTAGAACCGTCATTTGACTTCATTGCGACTACATTTGGGTACATTTGGGTAATTACTCGCTCGCTCGGTACAAGCACGCGATCTATTAACTCAGTTTAAATTAAGTTTTCCAATTTTTTGTGACTTTGTGACACCAAATACTAGTCGAGAAGTGGTTGGCAGTCCGATTTATTAATGTAGGACCATTATTTGATTTCATTGCGGCTACATTTGGGTACATTTGGGTAATTAGTCGGACCGAAGGAAAACATATACTGTACACACAGCGTATGTAGCTTACATGACAGAAGTTTACATCATAAATGTTGTCATTTTTACTCATGTGCTGAGATCAGATTGACAATAAAAATTAAGTGGTGTTTGAAGCATTACCTGATTTTGGAGAATTCCTAGAAGTCTCTAGGTTTCCAGTATATGGGCATAATTTTTTCGTGAGTGAAAACATTCTTGTCTTTTTCTGTGTTCACATATATCAGGACATACCTATTTATCTTGGGGACATCTTGATGACTAGGTATAACAAGGACATTTGTCTGATATCACCCTTCACTTTTTTCTGTTGAAAATACAAGTGTGTTCTGTATGGGCCTATTAATACTGTACAAGTATCATTAGATTTTCCGTCACTACAATTTGAAACGCTAGACGAAATGCTTTGATATGATCCCCAGTACATTATCGTAAGTCGGTATGCTTGTTCATATCAGCAACAGCTAGAGATAGGAGTAGGGTTGGGGGGAGGAGTCATCCTTGTATGACATACTAGATACCCTCTACTACAATAACAAGAAATCCATTAAGCTATATTATTGTATGTATTGTTCAAAAATGTATATACAGTTGTACCCCACTTAACGCGGTCAATTGAACCCAGAGGGTCCCGCGTTAAGTGAAAACCGCGTTAAGTGAATAACAGAACATATGGGATTAATTCCAATAGAACCCAGCCCGACCCCCAAACTCCACTTTTTGACGACAAATAACTATGTTGTAGTAAAAATAACATCTTAATTTTATGATGGTACATGCACACAATTAATACTTAAGAGAAATAGAGAAATACAGTCGCCAAGTTAATGTCCATTCAAATAATGGACTCAACTCCCTCCCCCTCTTCTCACACTACACTCACTGGCTCTTCCCTCTGAGAAATTTTTGGGGAAAACCAGGTATAGTAATAAATAATTCCTCAAACTAAAGTTAGGATAATATAATTGACATTGCTGGATTCCTTGTAAGACCAGGAATATTTTGAATATAAATGTCATATATTTTTCACAAAAGATAACATATTTACTCAGAATAAACTTTACATCTAAAATTTGTATGTCTAATGCAAAATCTATGATGTTTATATTCAAAATGATCAGCAAATTGTAAGAATTCCAGCAATGTAAATTATATTCTGGCCGGATAATTTGTATGAATTTTATGAGCTAAAACAAATATCTTCAGTTAATAAAAAAAAAAAAATATTCTTCGACACTATCTGTCAATCAAAGTACCCCACCTTGCCTTCCCCCCCTCTTCCAACCGCGTGGTCAGTCCCAACCCTCCCCCCACCCCCCACCAATCCTCCATTCAAGAGTTTTTAACATTTAGTATTAAATAATACCTCAGATTAAAGTTAGGATAATATAATTGACATTGCTGGATTCCTTGTAAGACCAGGAATATTTTGAATATAAATGTCATATATTTTGGACAAAAGATAACATAATTACCTAGAGAACAATTTTTATCTAAAAATTGTATGTTTAATGCAAAATATATGTTGTTTATATTCAAAATGATCACCAAATTATAAGAATTCCAGCAATGTAAATTATATTCTGACCGGGTAATTTGTATGAATTTTATGAGCTAAAACAAATATCTTCAGTTAATAAAAAAAAAAATAATTCTTCACGGGGTAACAGATGGTCGGTCGGTCGGTCCCTCCCTCCCCCCCACCCCCCACCCCCCACCAACCGTCCCAAGGAGATGTGTGGGATAACCACTAAATTTTAATAAATAATACCTCAAACTAAAGTTAGGATAATATAATTGACATTGCTGGATTCCTTGTAAGACCAGGAATATTTTGAATATAAATGTCATATATTTTGGACAAAAGATAACATAATTACCTAGAGAACAATTTTTATCTAAAAATTGTATGTTTAATGCAAAATATATGTTGTTTATATTCAAAATGATCACCAAATTATAAGAATTCCAGCAATGTAAATTATATTCTGGCTGGGTAATTTGTATGAATTTTATGAGCTAAAACAGGCAGTCAGGCAGGGTGGCGGGTGGGGGGTGGTGCGAATCTAAAAATAGCTCTCGAGCCGGACACTCACCGCGGATATGATGAAAAATGCCGCGTTAAGTGAAAGTTCAGCTTTGGCAAGGCACCGCGTATATGCGAAAACGCGTTAAGTGAAAGCGCGTTAAGCGGGGTAATACTGTACTCATTCATGCTCAAAGGTTGCATATGTAGAACGACCAACCGTTCAGAAACAGATCGAGTAACATTGCTTGGAAAGCCTCGAATCCCATTGACCCCTATGGCTAACAATACTTTTTTGGGGGGACTGCACATAACTTTTGAGTTTGTGTTGTAGCCGGCATCCTTAAAGATGAGTTTACATGTGAAAAGATTGTCTGTAGAGTCAAGTCTTAAGTGGCAGTAATATCTATAAGATGCAAATGCACTATTTCATAGGCCTTTGCCTAGTAGCCCGCCTTTGGTATGTCACTTTAAAAGAAATATACTGAATATGATTTTAGCCATAATGAACCACTGAGTACTGATATATTTGAACATATATCTTTCATTGATCCTTTACTGCTATACAATATTGGGTATAATTTAGCCTTTTACTCTGCCAAATCAATGAAAGTGTATAAAAGGGAAAAGTTGATCAATTCATTTTACTTTGATATTGTTACTTTTAAAATAGACGGAGCTATTACTTCTGTGGTAAATTTACCGTCATATGTTTAGGAGTTTGAATAGTCTTGTAACAATACGTACAGTATTAATATGGAAAAGAAGATCAGGGCCAAGAACAGAGCCTGAAGTACTTCAGTACTGTACTGTAGTCCTCGTTTGATTTTAAATGATTCCTCTTTAGTAAAGTTTTGAATATGTTCTTTTCCTGCAAAAAAAGTAATTATACAAAGTAAAAGTGAATATTGCACTGTTTCTAGTTGAAATATATTCAGAAATGCATGACTTAGAGAATTCTTTCTGAGTGTGTTATTCCTACCCTTTGAAAATTGTTACTCATGACAATTTGTATAATCATAAAAGAGTTACGGCACTTTTATTTTTACTTCATCAGGATTGGTTGTCATATGCTTATGATTATGAATTGGAAATATGGTGAAATTTAGTTTTGGTTATACAGGTACTGTACAATACTGTACTTAACAGACTATTTCTGTTCATAGGTATTTGCAAGTGACCAGGATGGATCATCCGTGAACAAGAAGGTGGTTTTCCGTATTCAGCATGGAGCACAAGATAAATTTGTAATGGAAGCAAACACTGGAGTGATCTCTGTGGCTCAGGGAGCTCTTCTTGACCCTGACAGGACTGAGCCCAGGGCCACAACTTATATCTTAGAAGTAATTGCCTTAGATGGTGGAATAGGTATTGCTCAGCTCCAGGCCAGGACAGTTGTCAACATTACAATTCTTGATGTAAATAACAAGCCTCCCATTTTTAAAGACCCTGGAACTGTCAGGTAAGGTGCCAAAGAAGATTGAGATTTTTTTTTTATAACTACTTTAAAGTGTAGTGCATTGTACATTGTATGTAACCAACCTCTCTTCTATCACCACTGTAAACTTAAAGGACTACTTTAGAGGAAAATAACTTTCCTAAGATTTTCCCAGAGTTTTCAAGCTAGATATTAATATAATTTTCATGCAACTTTTTTTTTAATGATGGAGCACTTAATCACTTTTGTCAAAGTGTCATTTATATACAGTACTGTATATTTATTATTTCAAAAATTGTTGTTATTTGCTTGAGGTAAACATGGTATTATGGTTGTTGATAATGATGAAATCAAGGCAATTTGGAGAAAATAATATATGATTGATTGCTGAATGAAGAGTTTGAATGGGACAGGGGCAGCCTAAGAGCAACAGACCCAGTACAGGAACCTGCCCAGGGATTAAAAGAGAATGAGTGATTAAATAAATTGACAAATTGATTAATGGAAATGTGGCTGGAAGTTTTGAAATTGTTACAGAAATGCTGAAAGCATCAGACAATGTTAATGTATCCAGTGGCGGAGTCAGAACGTTTCTACTAGGGTAACCAGGTTAGACCCAGTGATTTTATTGGGGTGGCAAACTGGGGTGGTGAAAAATAACTGCTTCAAATCTATGGAAAATTACTTAATGTTGTTACCCCTATCTGTGTATGGCCTCAGTGGAATATCCCTCACACACCTAAGATAGCTAAAGACACACACCTCTGCTGCTGTCACTCTTCTGTAACAAACTAATTTTATGTAACTGCACCTCTATAAACATTACAATTAGAAGGATATTTGCTTTAAATACATATTTTATAGATAACAATTCACAAGAGAAGGTCATGTTACCAATTTATTTCCAATTTCATACAAAAGAAGAAGAGAAGAAAAACCAAAAAAGGCTGACAGTTATGCAATAAGGTCAAAATGTGCATAATACAGCATTATACAGGTAACAAACACAAATAATTTGGGGCTCTCAATAAACAAAATGAATATAAACGTAAGTTGCGTTTCTGTAGAACCCCCACTGAGCATAAAAGGCATACACCTACAGTATCTTTACTGCTCACTTAGCATCTCACTTGTGCTGTTAAATATATTATATCTAGATTATAGCAGCTGAATTCTACGGCTCTTGTGATTTCTGGCAACGGTATCCATAAACTCTTTTAGATTGAGGGACTTTGCTCTTCTACATTCTATGCTCAAAACCCCCAGATCGTCCAACCTATCTTCTGCCTATAAGACAGGGGCTATTACAATGGTTTGAGCATGTTGAAAGATTGGAGGAGACCAACTGGAAGGGAGGAGAACCAGGTTTAGTTCAAGAATGACATAGAAGAGGTTATAAGAAATGAAATAATATATAAGAATCTAATGAGATAGGTTGCAAAAGACTGTGCAGCATAGAGAACTGCCATCAGGAAATCATGGCCAATCCATGCAAGTGCAGAAAGTAGCCATAAAATGTTGATGCTACAGATGATGAACCCTGGTGTAAGACTATATCTGTCTTTATTTCACTGTACGAACAAATCCTATTTTATATTATCAGACGTGCTTTATTAGGATGCCTAATTGAAGATCAGCTATTTGAATTGTTTTAATATATTATAGTAACTATATTTAATTTACTATTTATTCCATACATATCTGAACCTAAAATTTGAGTACGTACTAGACACCACGGTAACTATCAGACTGGATGAGTAAGGCACGGGGATTATGACAGCAGGTTTGTTTATACTGTACTGTATCGTACATTTAAAACAAACTGTACCTCAGTAGACTGCTTAATTCCTGTATGGATTATGTTGTACAAATTGCTTGAAACCAAATTTTGACCTACTGGTATATCTGTAGTAAAACAACTTTTCATGGCTTGTTAAATAACTGTACAGTGATATCTCTGTTAGCCGGAACAATTGGTGCAGAGCACTTCTGGGAGTGAGAGGGTAATGAGATGACTCTTTCAAAGCTGGAAAAAAATCCTCATCTCTGGAATTTTCTGGATGATGGAAAAATGTTCTCAGAAGTTCCAGAAATTGCCCATTACATCATCTCTCGAACCCGGAAAAATATCCCCCATCCCCAGAATTTTTGGGGTATCGGGAAAATTTTCTTGGAATTTTCCAGAAAATGTGCCCCTCGGAAAATCTTTCCGAAAGCTGGAATTTTCCGGAAAATTCTGGCTTTGGGAACAATTTTATGATAAAATTTAAATTCCGGCTATCAGAGAGTCTGGGTTTAAGGGATTCCAGCTGACGGAGGCATTACAACCAATAATGTAAGGATATACTCTTTGTGTATTAATTTTGAACCCCCTCATCTGGCATCATCCCCAGCACGAGGGGATGATTGTTGCCTTGTGCTTATGTTTTTAATGATTTTAGAGCTGAAAAATGGCTAAAAATTATCGTGTCAATTGACACTTTCAGTAAACAATATGTTTTATTTTTCCTACTCAGGGTATTTGAGAATGAAGACATTGGGTCGTATGTTCATCAAGTGGAGGCTGTGGACTTGGATGCTCGACCTCGTCTCCGTTACTCGATTGATGCTGACAATTCTGAAGCTAGAAATGAAGAGGGTGCTATTGTTAAGGTACTAGTTTATTTAGAAATCAGTAGGAAGATACTGTTGAAGATTAAAGTAATCCATTAATTTTTACTTACTTACTTTACCTAAAAGCCACCCCAACTAGAGGTGGCCAAGACATGGGTAGGAGGCCAATGGCCAGTGTAGAATTCCCCCATTTTTTTTTTTGTGTGTGTTGCTCAGGGCTATTTTGAATCCCACTTCTCTTCTTGCTTCCACGGCTTCAGCTGGTGGACTGATCCAAAGGCTCACCCCCTGTATAAGAAGTAGTTTTATAAACTATTTCCCTTTCCGATGTTCCACAGCGATCCATACTTATTGCCATAATCCATATCCCTTACATTAGTACAATATAGATAAGTAGGATTCATTTGGACAAATGGTTAGGTGGGAGCAAAGGAAGCACAGGGTCATAGAGACAACTTTATTCCTGATGTTTCGTCTCGAAGGACTTCATGATGAATCGTCAGGAATAAAGATGTCTCTCTGACCCTGTGTTTCCTTTGATACCACCTAACTATTAGTATAGATACGTACTTAGTTCAAATCTAGATACCATGAGATGATAACCACTAGATTCATCCAGTCTTATCACTCTAATCCAAATATTCTTTTTCAAGGAGTATCGCCTCAATTTAGTCCCATTAATCTGCAGAAGTTTGTATGCTCAATTAGAATAAACATATGCTTCACATTTGAACAGTATGAAATGACCAAATGGATTCTCCAGCATATGATGAACCTCAAACAAGTAAGACAAATACTAAAGACTAGTGAGTAGGAATAATGAAAAGTGGTTGCTGTATTATTATGGTGAATACTGTACAGTATGAGAATTCAAAGCAACAGAAAGGGCAAGAACAGGACGCAGTACATTTGTTCATTTCCTGAACTGGCATATATAGTACACACTGTGGTTTACTAAGTGAATTATCAAAGACAGTTACATACCACATGGATTCTTTTGTTTACCATAGCTGAAATAATTAGTAAAAATTCAGCATATTTTTTAACTGTTCTATATTACATTATGCTTCTGTGACGTAATGCTTTTGGCAGGAAGCTTGAAATTTGGCTTGAAATTTCCTTGGGACATACCTATGTATTTTAGCCTAGGAGCCACTTCCAATTTTACCCACAATTCCCTTGGCTCACAAAAATCCAATATGGCTGCCAATTAATGGGATATTTCTTGTAGAAATACTATTCTTTATTATATGAGGCAAAATGTCAATGTTTAGTTGCATTTTTTATTATTAGTATTTTTAGTATGCATGTTTTAGTGTATTTGCTTACTCTCCTGTCCTTTTGTTGGGTCATGTGAATTACTCCAGATGGGTACCTGTTCACTTCAAGGACATTAAGTTCTTGCCTCATTTCATCAAGGACCAGTTTCTCAAGTAAGTCCCACTGGGTCATTCCCAAAACCATGAACAGTTCTCTGCCATTCCTATAGACCAAGCCCGTGAGCAAGAAAACAAAGTTGTCAAGTCTTCAGGTGGATGTATTGGGCTCATGGATAATCCCCTCATGCTTTCAAATGTTGGATGGTTTTGGGGCCAGAGCTTTCTAGGCTGATTAATGATCAAGCAGTTTGAGGGTGAATACTTACCTGATGATGATACTGAGAACCCCCAAAACCATAAACAACACAAACAGGAATTGTTCAGTCAGATGACATTTATAATGCAGATGAACAGCCTTTCCAACACCATGAGGAAAATGGGAGATCCTTTCCTAACAGACTTTCGTGACAGTCAAAACTGCAAAAATGAATCGGTGATTGAATCAATTTGGAATAAAAAATATTGGCAAGAGGCAGTACCAGGAGTATGCTAGGAATGAGGACCACAGCATTTCCGTACATGAATGAGTAAAGAAAAATTTGCTGCCATTTTTCAAGAATGCTCAACCAAAAAGGACTTCAGCCCAAGGTAAGAAGATTAAAGAACTGCAGGATAATGTTGAACTATTTGGGCAGCTTTATATCTTTTTACAGAATCGAGCTGGGGATCTTGTCGAATTTTTCTCTTATGAAGTACAGTACACGCATATCCACCTTCACTCGCAGACTTTGGCCAACTTCATTTCCCAGCCACTTAGTCCCTGCTGTTTGTTCTCTTTGAGCAGAGTGAACAACCTTAGGTGCCTTCATCTTACGACTGCAAAACAATGGATGGAACTGTTATTGTCCATTCCCTTCCGACAGCAATTGTAAGCACATTTGGGGAATATGCTGATACAGTATTAATTCCTTATGTCCAAAACCAACTGCAGAATTCCTCACAGCTTGGATGTTGTGTGGGATAGTTACATACCAAATAATCTTAAGGAATCTACAAAAGATAAAAGGGGGAAAGGTATTTGCAGAAAGGTGTCAGCTCAGACAAAAATTCCAGGCACCTGGATGGATTTCCTTCATGCTGAAGAAAATAAGAAAGAACTTTTTGACTTTCTTACATCAAAAGTTGAGAATTTCGCCTTCACACCATCCAAGACTGTCTGCATCATAGCAAAGAAATCAGTAGTCTCCAAAAGTACAGACAATCTTACGCCTTCTTGCAATCACGAGGAAGGCGACACCAGAATTGTTGTTCGTGTCTCTTTGGAGCACGGAGGGAAATCTATCCAAGTCAGAAGAGTGGACACTAATGTTGTCGTCATTTTTATTGGTGTGTTCAGTGAGTTTATAACCACTCAACCATTGGCATATATCTGGGTGCTCTTTGGAATGGGAAAACTACAGGTATTTAAGTATCAATTACCATTTGCTCCAGTCTTGGATGCCAGAAATTATTATCACTGCCAGTCTTTCATGCAGTCAGTGGATGCAATGTTACATCAGCATTCAAGGGAAAGGGAAAGGTTTCAGCTTGGCATGCATGGCAGACATACAATGAGATTACAGACATTTGCATACCTGGCCACTCATCCTTTTGAAGACCTCAATTTGGATTTCATACACTTCATGCATTTGGAGCATTTTACTGTTGTCCATTATGATGGAGCAAGCCCTCTTAGTTCTGTTAATGAACTATGAAAGGAGCTATTTTGCCTAAAAAATAGGCCAGTTAATATACTTCCTCCAACAAAAGGTGCCCTTCTTCAGCATGTGCATTGAGCAGTCTATCAAGCTGGAGTTTGGACAACCAGCACTCATATTCAGCAAAATGTGCCATCACCAGAAAGATATGGTTAGACTAAAACTTCTGGGTTGTAGACTCCTGTCTGCTTAACGATTCTTGACGTGTCGAGAACTTGCAGAGAGTTGGTCAAATGTTCTTGCAGAGGCGACTGTTCACATTGCAAATGTGGCAAAGCAAACCTTCAATGCTTACCTCTTTGCAATTGCAAGTGCAGTAAAGCTGTCTAGACTTAATGTCAGATTCAAAGTGAATAATAACTGTGTTTTTCTTGGTGTCTTTTTATATTTACACTAAAATGAATGCCAAGACATGTTTGTTTGGAACTTCTGCACAACAACAAAATATCTGACATCTTTGTGCATTGCAGTGTACTGAACAGTCTATAATTTAGCAATATTAAGAGGCATTCAGGAATTTTTAAATGCCTATTATGTGTTCAAATGACATTTTTGAATCAGAATATCATATTCCACAGTAAATCTGAAGAAATTTATCCCAAAATAGTGTTTTATTATCACATGTCAAATGATGAATTTCTGGCAGCCATCTTCTTGGTGCTATTTTAAGGGATTCTGGGAAATGTTGAGAGTGGCTCCTAGGCTAAAAGTTAATGGGATGTCCAGAGGAAGTTATATACAAAATTTGGTGCCGTTTAGCAATTGTTCACTTACCGATAATTCGGTTTAGCAGTTTAAAAATTGCTAACAACCTTAGTTATTTAAGTATATGAAATTGTTTGGGTTAGCGATCTTCAACTCACTGGGAAATGTTGTATTTTCAAGGCCAACACTAAAGCACTTGGAAAGGGAGCTGCTATATAAGATACCTGTACAGTAATGCCAATGAATCAGCCAACCTTAATTTTAGATATGATTTTAGAAATCATTATCTAGCTTTTCCAGCAAAAAACAGAAATTAATTTTGGGTAACCAGAGGGGGTACATATCTAGGTTTAGTATATAGAAATCACGTATTGTAGGAGTATGCTACCGGCACACCACCTATGAACCTAGGCCATTATTACACTTGTGTTTACCCTGCCTTTGAACATTGCAATCTGTGCTTTACTATATTGCTCTGTATACTATCGATTGCTGTGCATTGTTCCTAATGCTGTGCATCGCTGTTATTGTAGTGACTTTGGCATGTTATTGTGTACTATTGTGATATTGTTTACTAAAGTAATTGATCCTCCCTCCCCCTCCGCTCTTGTTGGCTAACAGGCGGACCAGGTAAGAACTGCTTACTGTATATTCCTTTATGTTTTTGACCTATGATAATTATTTTTCTTTGTATTATTTGCACATTCTGTATGAACGAATGTGTGAGGCATGTAGCAGAGTACAGTCAACCCTCACTTTACGCGGTTAATGTAACCCGCAGGGTCCCGCGGAAAGTGAGGAACGCGTAAAGTGAATAACATAACATATGGGATTAATTGAAATAGAGTCCGGGCCGACCCCCAAACTCCACTTTTTGACGACACACAATTATGTTGTAGTAAAAATTTTATCTTAACTTTATGATGGTATGAAAAAACAAGTAATAGAGAAGAGGTTAGGTTAGGAAAAATAAAGGTTAACATAGGAAAAATAAAGGTTAGGTTAGGAAAACTAAAAGTTAGGTGGAACACTTATGTTAGTAGAAGAGATGGGTCGGCGTACGGGGATGGAGGGCTGGTTCGAGACGGAGGCAGGCTAGCCTCAGGTGAATCACCATTACTAGGTGCATCACCATCACTGTCACTTACTGCAGTTGTCCCGGGATTCCCACAACCAAATCCCCTCAAGTCATCTTCGCTGCCACTATATCACTGGCTTGGGCGTGTTTGGCTGTGGTGGGTTCTTGAAATGAAATCTGTTATGTTTGCTGATGGCTGGTGTTGATGTTGTCGTGATACACCTTGATGTAGGGCTCCATAGTCTGCAACAGCTGGGTGGTGAAGATTTCATACCTGTTTTGCGTCAGGGTCGTCGGAAAGGAGGAGCTTGGCTTTCTCGAACTACACTCGATGGCACCCCCTAACAGTAATATGGGATAAGTGTTGTTCTTCTTGGGATGGCGCACTACCTGCACCTCTTCACTGGCGTCGTCATCATCATGTACCATCTCCTCATTAGTCTGTCAGGTTCCATTATCACCTCCATGTTGATGTTGTGGTTGGTGGTCTCGGAGAAGCCTGGAACTGTAACAGTCTCTTAACCTTCTCTGGCAAGATCCACTACTACTGCAACAGTCTGAACCTCACACCAGTCACAAGATTGACTTCTCCTCTCACCTGGTATTCCATGCAACACATGTGTCCATCGTGACAATTGTAGCAATAGACAGCTGATCCCATGACTCCACCCAAGAGTCCACGCTTTCTTGATGTTAAATACTCTCAGGAATTGTTTGAACAGTATTTTTGCTGTGCCAACTGTTGATGATCCTCTGTCTTCTTCGCTCTTGCTATCGTTGGTGGTGTCACTCCAGGTTAGCTCTTCCTAGTGTTGGTCGTTCAGGGAGTTTGGGCCTCGTAGAGAATGCAGCTTTTACGTACAGATTAACTCTTGGTCCATAGGCATAATATAGACAGTGTTGGGAGGAAGGCCACTTTTTTACGTTAAGATGACGATCTAACAGTAGTAGTGTCCTGGTGCGTTGTCAGCAACAGCCACCGCAGGCTCTTGAATAGCACTTCTCCTTCGCTCACAAATTTCTTTACATGGGGAACAAAACAGTCATCAAACCAGGAGAGGGACAGTGTAAGAACATCCGCCCTCACGTCACGGTCAGCCAGTGGACGACCCAGCAGTGTGTCCATGGTTTTGTCCAGAAGGCGTCGCGACTTCTTTGTTCTGTGGATCTGATATGACTTACTGGTACGGGGCATTAATTGATAAAACTAGGGCGGTGATGCGTTCCTTCACCATCGCTGGCCCCAGATCTTTCTTCTTGAGACTTGGAAGGTAGCTTTTTGAAAAGACCAAATTCGTCCATATTAACCTGGTCGTCACTATACCTGCTTCCGCCTCCATAATCTCACATTAAAAACAGGAGGAAATTCCTAACACGGATCAGCACTTTCGCTTCTTCACCACAGTAATTTATATTGGTGATCTTGTTCGGATCTTAAGCCTCTGCTAACCACCCGAAGGCTTATTAAGGGTTTGGGCTCTGTAATTTCCATCTTCGTGCCACTGCGGTATACGGTTCGCGTCGTGCTACTCACCTTAGGCGACTGTCGACCGCCATGTTCCGTCGCCTGGCCGCACCAAATTACCTCACAAGTAATTTTCTGTCTTGAGAAGCACCTGGTTGTGAAAATACTTGAAGTCATACAAGCACCACATAGACTTTGTAGAATCTTCATGTGCTCCTTTATCTTGGCACCATCCTTCTTTATTGTTCCGGAGATGTGGGTTAATTCACACCATGCTGGTAGCGCCAAATCAACCCTGCCTTGTTCCTTTCTCCAACTCTTGGATGATCTTGTACTTTACCTCGTAGCAAGGAGCGTCGGTGTCTTCTTTGGCTTAGTGCGCTGGGTCAGATGAGAAGGGTTTCTCTCTGCGGTGGTCCGGCGGAAGCCATTTACAGAACAATGGATACCGTTTACACGCGGTCTAGTGGAGGATGAAACTAGGCGGCGGCTAGGTCCGCATCGTCTTTCCTCCCTCCTCCCTCCCTCCCCCAGGTGGACCGTCATAATACTTTAAGCCAATTTAGCTAACATGGGGGTAGGGATGCATGGCAATCCTGATCGATCGTCATATGACGTCAGTGATACTTGACAGACACACACTCGCATAGCCTTACGTGAAAACTTGCCAGGCGGAGGAGGAGGCGAAACAGAGGAGAGGCGAGAGCACAGGTAGGCAGGCGGTGGGCGATCTAAAAATAGCTGCCCACGACACTCACTCACAGAATGGAGCAACGTTAGGTTTCAGAAACCGCGTTAACGTGGAAACGCGGAATGTGGGACCGCCAGAAGCGAGTGTTGACTGTACAGAAATGAAGAAAATTACGGTATTCTCCCGAATTACAAGGTGAAGAATAACTTATCTCAGCCTCACCACCCCTGTCTGAGTACTACTGGGGGTGAGTCGGCCAGGTGATTCTGCATGCAATTACATGCCATCACAGATATTATTCCTCGTTATCCTTTGTTTAAGATATTATTTCTTTTCTGTTCAATCAGCACAACTATTTAGCGATCTGTTTTCCAGGAATACATCCCTATTGCTAAACTAAGATCCCTGTATGCATATAAATAACTTTATTGCATACAGTATACTGTACTTGCACTTGTTTATATGTTTACAAATTTTTATATTCTATTTTTTTAATTAGAAGTACAGTATATTGTTTTCATTTTGATAATACTGTACTTACATTAACCTACA